TTTCCTATATTATTTGAAATTGTACTCTTTGAATTGTATCCGTTCTTTCCTTGGTTCACTTTTTTATACAGGGTGTCCCAGCTAACTCTGGTATCTCAAATATGTCGCTTGTTTTTTATGATAGAAAAAGTGTTAGAAGAAAAAGTTATTGTACACGATGGCGCACATATTCTGATTAGTAAAAAATTTTGCTCAAGGTTATTTTTTTCGAGATTACAAGGTCATCGGTGTTTTTTTTTTAATGGAACCATATATTTTTGTTATCATACGATGATAGCTGAGGGCAAGGCGAGTTCATTGACCTATGACACTACGACCTTCAAATGACCTTGTTTGGAAACTGATTTATATGGTAAAATTTTAATTCATACAATTGTAGGAGGCGCTGGAAACTGTGCTTCAACTCGCTACACGTAGGTTTGCCCCCCCCCCAGCTTTACACTGTCTCATCCATCACAATACTGCCCCCCTTTCTTTAGAATGGTCATCCCGACCGCAGCGGATTCACGTTCGGCAGGCAACTTCCAACTCAGTCTTCGAATTCCTCTTGAACACCTCTGTCTGTAAAGGAGGTAAACCAAACGACCGAAACCTTTACATGAGTGACCTTTGACAGATGGTAAGCGCCTTGACATTTGTCCACCGTCTCAAGGAAAACCATCTAAAAACGTTGAGCAAGACGCCGGTGAAGATTCTCTCATTCTTATCCTTGTCTTATTCTTCCGGCATCCTCTCGTGGAGTATCATAACGTGCCAGTCGGTTCACATGGATGACCTTCGGCTTCAATTTTGAAGAGCGAACAATCCGATAGGTCAGCTCATTCAATCGACTCTTCACCTCGTAAGGACCTTCCCAATAAGACTGGAGATCCGGACATCTTCCTTTTACTCTTCGGGGATTGTACAACCGAACCTTCTCCCTAGGACTAAAGGAAAATGGTTTTGAATACGAGTCATACCATGACTTCATCTTCTCTGAACAAATCTTCATCCGTTGGCGTACAAACTGATGTACTTTATTAATTTTCTCCCGTGGCTCTTCAATGTAAGCATTCTCCTCCCTCTGTTCACAAGGCGCTGCCCCTCTCAGAAGATCCAGCGGGAGACGTAATTCTAGACCCAAAAGAACCATAGACGGACTATGCTGGGTAACTTCGTGTCTTGATGTTCGATACATTAGCAGGAACATCGGAATCCATTTGTACCAATTTCTTTGGTGGTCGGCAACAAACTGGTACAAATACTGCAATAAGGTTCGAATCATCCGTTCCACGAGCCCATCTGACTGAGGGTGTATAGGAGTTGTCCTTGTCTTCTTGATCCCAAGCATTTTCATCAATTCCTTAAAGATGATGGATTCAAAACTCCGACCCTGATCAGAGTGCAGTTCCAACGGCACACCATGTCGACTGATCACTTCTTTCAGAAGAATCTCTGCTATCGTCGTGGTTCGCTGGTTCGGTAACGGGAATACTTCCGGCCATTTCGAAAAGTCATCCACCACAACCAGCGCAAATCTGTTTCCAGACGAAGACTTTGGCAAGGGACCGACAACGTCGAGCGCTATCCTCTCAAACTCCGACGTTATAAACCCTTAGGGTCCCTCTTCCCTTTTCCTTGGAGCCCTTCTTCGCCGAACAACAGTGACACCATTCTGCAACATCCTTTCGGTGATCGAGCCAGAAAAATCTCTGTCGAACCTTAGCAAGGGTCTTCTTGATTCCGAAGTGTCCTCCAGGAGGCGCGTCATGACATTCTTGAAGCACCTCTTCGACCTTAACTTTCGGAACGATACATAACTTGGTAATTTCTCTTCCGTCTACGGTTTCCCATCTTCGGAGCAACAAACCTTGAGAAACTTCCAACGAATCCCAAATTTTCCCGAGATACTTCGCTCCAGAGGGAAGAACAGAAGCTTCTTGCCAAGCTGGTTTATTTCCTTCTTGCTTACATTTCCGAATAAAGCCAAAACCTCTTCCTGTGCTTTTCTCCATCCTTCTGAATCCACAGGCTTA